TTAATATTAATAACCTTAAGTTAGTTAAAGAAGTTAGGAATAATCGTTTACTAAACAGTTTTGAAAGTTTATACATTTATAAAAATAAACAAATTGTTCTTAACAATGACAACGGTCCCATCCCTGGATCTCCGCTATTTAGTTTAGTTTAATTACGTTTATGATGATGATGTTAAGGTCCATTGAACATCTACCTTGTTGGCTTCGGGTCATGTTCACTGAACCTTAACAACTATCAGTATAAATTAGGATTAGTTCTCATTTAGGTTTAGTTTACTTCAGTCCCTGAAGAAGGTAACTTTGTTACCGAAAAGTGCTTCGGACAACTACAGTGTCGTGTTTTGGCGTTGGGGTTTTGAGCTATTCTGTTTGTTCTATTCTCATACAGTACTGTTTTGTCTTTTATTTAAAGCTGTCTCTAAGTCCTCCTTGCTAGATACTGACATTTTTTTTTTACCGACATAATAATTGTCTTAAATACTGAAATTTTCTGTTATACATGCAAACTTGTCATGACTTAAAGAAAATAGTGTCGATACCACAGGGATATAGGGACGTATTACGAAAACTAAATATTTATACAATTTAGCATTCTAACAAAATTGAATTGATGAAGCTTTTAGGTATTGTAACTTCATTTTAATGTAGAAACCAATAACACAAACACAAGTTACAAAGAATGTTTACTGTACCACAATGTACATTTCGCCCCGCGGTAGCTTCTTCAGGTGCAAGAAATAAAAGTCATATGAAAGATAATAATCATAGTTTTGACGACAATTACAAAGTTTTACATCTTGAAAATAAAGGACTTAAATTAAACCTATTAGAAAGTCTACAGATCAATAAATTAAATAGATTAGGATTAGTTATTAATGATAAAAATAGATATAAATTTTTCTACACTTTTAAATGTTTAGTAGCTTTTAGTATTAGTTTTAGTTTAGACCCCCACTACAATAATTTAGTGCATAAGGGTTTTGTAATTACGTTAAGAGTCTTCCACCTGAAGAAATGTATATTCTAAAAAAAAAATGTTTTATAAAAGACTTGTTTATTAAAAATATATGCAAGCTGAAGTCATGAAGAAATTAATCTGTTATCAGATCAAATGCCACTAAAACAGAATAGTTAATATTTTTATCGTATAATAAACATCTTGTCTATGACTTTTTAGAGTATAAAACCTATTAAAAATTACATTTTTATATTCATCCACAAAATTTTATCTCTGTTGTGAGCGTGTAGCAAAATTCAATTGATATCATAAAATATTTACAACTTACCTAATAAAATTGCACAAGTATCTACTGGAATATTTCATCTTTACGTAATTGGGATGAACGTAGTAAACAAGATATTGTGACAAAAACCACTGTACTAAGTTTAGTTCAACGTTATTGCGAGCAAAGAAACTAATAACCAAATAATTGTTCTGTTTTTTTATAAATATAATCCAAGAATAGGCATAATATTTTGTATACAGTTAAGTTCTCTTAAATGAATGGTAAGAAAACCTTGGAAATTTTTAGTCTGATGGAGCGCAATGGACAACTGGAGAAAGCAGCGCTTCATGTGGAAAGACCTGTGTATCAAATAGAAGACCTTAACGAAGCTACCCTATATGGGAAGCCGCACACTACATGTAAGCTTGCAAATCTATGAAATAATCGGTACAATTCCAGTGAAATTTCGTAAATTATGAGGTGGTAGAGTGAACTAAAAGAAAATTGAAAAATTCGAATTAGATATTTTTTAAGATTGTCCAATTGCACCATAAATTAACATATATCAATTCATCGTTATCGTCATAAGGTCATCAGTCCTAATACTGGTTGGACACGCATCTCCACTCCTTCCTATCCTGAGCTAATTTTCGCATTTCCCTGAAACTAGAAAATCCCACACCCTTAAGTCCTGTTTCTACCTATAATATGTCTCTGACTAGACCTTCATGCATGAGAAGGTGTCCTACCAACCTATCTTGCCTATTTCTTATTGACTTCTATAAAGTCGTCTATTCTGCTATTCTTTCGAATACCTCTTAATTTATAACCTTCTTTGTCCACGGTATCCTCATCATTCGCCTATAACACCATATTTCGAGCGCTTCTAATCTTTTCTTTTTCGTCGCGCCCATCGTCCATGTTTCGCACCCGTACAGCGCCGCTCTTCAAACATACACCTTTAACAATCTTTTTCGAATTTCTAAATTAACCGTTCGCGAACATAGAAGTGACTTCTTTTTATTGAAGGCAACTCGACCCTGCGCTATCCTTTGCTTTACATCCCTACTACTCCTTCCGTCTTGACTTATCTTACCTCCTAGATACCTAAAATCAGCCACTACAGTTTTACTTCAGTCCCTGAAGAAGGTAACTTTGTTACCGAAAAGTGCTTCGGACAACTACAGTGTCGTGTTTTGGCGTTGGGGTTTTGAGCTATTCTGTTTGTTCTATTCTCATACAGTACTGTTTTGTCTTTTATTTAAAGCTGTCTCTAAGTCCTCCTTGCTAGATCTAATACTGCTATATCATATACCTGTATAGATATCCCTACAGTTGTACTGTCTTTAACGATGTTGATCGCATCCCTGTCTGATTCCCTTCCCATTATTTACTTCTCTACGTTGCAGCCCCATCTCTATAACTGCCTGTTGCTCTTTATACAAACTAAGTATCACTCTTCTACATCTCTGTAACTCATCCCTACATTTTTATGTATATTTAACATCTTGTCCCATTTAACATTGTCAAAAGCTTTTTCTAAATCTACAATAGCAATCATTACGAACTTATTATTTATCATCTACAAATCTCCTAATATATACCATGTAGGACCCCACAAATCTTTTTATTTTTATTTGTTGGTGTAATATTTTGGGCTTACGCGAAAATCTTTTTAGATGGTCAGGTGTGTCGAAAGGTGCTCTGTTCTTGTGACTGTAGAGAATACGTTTCGGATACTGTCCCAATTTTAAAATGGTTGCCGGAATACAACTGGAGATCGGACATCATAGGGGACATTTTGAGTGGAATAACCGTAGCCGTAATGCATATACCCCAGGTACTTTTTTTTTGTCAATTATACCGTGCTTGGGAAGGGTTTGAAAGAAACTATAAATGTCCCGGTGGCGACTCTCTCTGTAGTAAGAACAAGTGATTGATAGAATTGATGGTACATTGGAGGTGATTTCGAGCAGTGTTGCCAATTCGAGGGATTTTTGACGTTCTCGAGGGATAAAGGGATTTTTCCTTATTTTTGCAGGATTTTTTGTAATTTGCCATTTTCTGGTTGGTTTTGTTTGATTTTGTTGACCTGATATTATATTATGAAGGCGCTCATTTTTCTAATTGTAATCGTAAAATTTTGTCAGCTATAATCGTATAATGCTTTACGATGAAACGGTTGATATACGACGGCGACGTGCGTTCAAGCCTACTGGTGCAGCCTGCAGGTACCTGCTCAAGTCCCTACGATAAATTGTCTTGAACTTTTTTGAATTGTATATTGTTTTCGTATCATTGTATGGTCTTCAGCTAACATCTTGAAAGTGACCAGTCAACAGATCAGAAACAGATGTTAAAACTAATAAAAATAAATGTTTGAATTGGTGTATTGTTCCAAAATCCGAACATCTAAACATCTAAACCCCCAAGGCCTGGTTTTGTCTGCATTTTTGGGAAACGAGATAACTACATACAATAAAATTATCGGTATTATACTATCGACACGAAAAGTTGTCCATGTTTACAAAAATATTGTATATTTTTTCTTCGAATAAACGATTAAATTAACGAATTAAAAAATAATAATAGTAATAAGTTGGAGGGATTTTTAGAGAAAATATGGGACTTTTTGGACCTGCGCGTGGAGGGATTTTTAGAGAAAATATGGGATTTTTTGGACCTGTGCGTGGGATTTTTTCCTGTAGTAGGTTGGCAACAGTGATTTCGAACATCTCAAATGTCATAGAATGCCTAACAACGGAGCAAGCGGTTCAGTTTGCTCACTACCTGTCCTAAAATGCATTCCGATACTGTCCTGGTTAGCAATGTACTTATGACCAAAAAATTTTAGTGAAACTATAAACAGCCTATGCCTAATAATTCTGAGAATAATGCACCCCTTATTTGAACCGTCCCTACCTGCCAGGAAATATGTGATTTTAAAGTCAAATGAATTATTGGTTTCTAATTATATCTCGCATCAAATGGTACCAAATGGGTTAAAATAATATTTTCCACGATGACGAAAAACGAAAAATTAGTAAATTACATGTTATTCATTTTTAAGGGTATGGCGTATGGTATGTTGGGCAATTTACCTCCCATAGTGGGCATCTACATGGCCTTTTTTCCGGTACTCATATATTTTTTCTTTGGAACTTCTAGACACGCCTCCATTGGTAACACTATTACATTAAAGACTTTCTAATTAAAATGGCGTTTGTAATTACCCCGTTGCAGGTACCTTTGCTATAGTATGTCTCATGACGGGCAAAATAGTGACGAAACACAGTAATGCCGAATTTTTATCCAACGGCACCTTAGTGTTACAAAATGGTACCGACCCTAACGGTCCCATTTATACCAACATGGAAGTTGCCACAGCGGTCACTTTTACAGTTGCCCTTATACAGGTATTTATATTTTTAGCACATGTCATAAACTGTTTTTTTTTTGTTCAATTTGGATCTACTTTTTCTACCAGTACAAACGAAAATTAAAAACATTTGTTTTATTTAATTGTAAAATAATTTTCCGTAACAAGCCCGTTGTTTTTTTAGATAGTAATGTACGTATTTAGATTAGGTATAATAACTAATCTGTTGTCAGAGACCCTGGTCAATGGATTTACCTGTGCGTCTGCATTTCATGTCTTCTTTTCTCAATTAAAAGATCTATTGGGAATCCCAATTCGTAAAAGAGCAGGATATTTCAAACTAGTAAAGGTATTAATAGTTAGGTAGAGGTAATTTAGAATGACTTGAACCTTCGCCTTGAGTTCAGCTGTGACAAAACTCCGCTCGATCCTTGATCTGTCCCAATTTTAACCATCTAAATGCATTCGTTGTCTTTAGCTGTATTACAGCATGGTTAACAACGAGTTAGTGTTTTCATATTGTACAATACGAATATAATATTAAGGTCTGCATCTCGCGTGGTTGAAGGCCCATGTAATTCTAAATTACCTGTACGTTTATCTTTTGTTTCATATTATAAAATACGTAATTATCATGCCATTTGCATTTGCAGACATTACAAGACGTGGTATTAGCTCTGCCTGAGGCTAATCGTACAGTTCTGCTAATTTCTTTCGTATTTTCCATAGTAATGTACTTAAATAACGAGTATCTAAAGGTAAAGAAAAGTCAATATCTTTACAAAAATTTTATTTATAACAACTTTTCTAGCCGTGGATAGCGAAGAGAACTAGAATACCAATGCCTATAGAATTGATCGCTGTAATAGCAGGGACTTTGGTGTCATATTGTTTCAATTTGAGCGAAGACCAGGGTGTTAATATAATTAATTATATTCCAACGGGGTAAGGGATCTTTTTTTCTCGGTGGTTACTGTACACTAACCTGAAATTGCTAGGGTTAGGTTAGGTAATAATAGATGTAAAGACCAAGCAAGATTTTTTTTAGTCTTCCAGCACCCACTGTACCGACACTGTCTCTTGTTAAAGACATTTTTTTGGAATGTTTCGTGGTGATGATAATTTCTTACACAGTTGAAATATCGATGGCGTTCCTTTTGGCCCAAAAGGGCCGCTACGAGGTCGACGCGAATCAAGAACTTTTGGCCATGGTATGAAGTTACCATCGCAAAGAACTTTTTTTGTGGTAGACAATTGTTATTCTGTTTTTTAGAGCTTAAGCAACTTTACTGGCAGCTTTTTTTCGTGTATGCCGATTTCAGCATCCCTCTCTAGATCTCTCATTCAGTACAACGTCGGGGGAATCACCCAAATTGCTTCAATCATTTCGTGCTTCCTGTTGCTCTTTGTACTGATGTGGATCGGTCCCATCTTTGAACCCTTGCCAAAAGTAAGTTTCTCTTTATAGCTCCCTGTAGGTATACGAGGTTTGTTCAAAGTAATCCCCATCAGATATTATACACTTGTGCCAAGGTTTTTACCAATCCTCGAAGCACTTCAAGAAATCGTTTTCTGTGATCTTGTTCAGCTCCTCCTTCGATGCCGTCTTTATCTCGTTAATCGTAGCGTAGCGTTGTCCTTTCACGGGCCTCTTCGGTTTCGGGAACAACAAAAGTCACAGGGGGCCAGATCTGGAGAATACGGTGGGTGCGACATTATTAGTGTGTTGTTTTTGGCCTAAAATTCGCGCACAAGCAACGATGTATGAGCAGGGGCGTTATCATGGTGTAAAAGCCAATTTTTGTTCTTCCACAAATCCGGGCGTTTCTGGCAGATTGCTTCGCGCAATTTGGATATAACTTGCAGGTAATAATCCTTATGGACCGTTCTACCCTGTGGCAAGAACTCATGATGCACCACGCCCCTGCAATCGTAGAAAACTGTAAGCAAAACCTTCTCATTCGACTAGTGTCCGACCGAAACTGGTTTTTACGACCGAAACCGAAACCGAAACCGAAACTTCCTTATAAGGATCGTGTTTTGAGAGAAAAATAAAGAAAACGTTATAATCAGTCAGTTTTATTTTTTTATCTTTGAATCACATAGCTCTGCAGTCTTTGACATTTTCACTTATTGATAATCAAATCAAAATCAACATAACAACCCCTCATTTAAGGAAATACTTTAATTGCGCCTTAAAAATACTTAAAATAGGTGAGATGTTTATTTGAGTAAGTATAGTAGACTAGACCCATTTTTCTTTTGAAGATTATTCATGCTTTTTTTATATAATATTAAACATAAAATTACTTTTGTTATTGTTACCCAATATCACAATAAGTATAGGAACTTAATATTTAAGTAATAAACAAAACAAAATAAATCGCTTGTATCGAAACCGAAACTAAACCGAACTTTCGGTCGGACACTACATTCGACCTAACTTGGCGCGCTTTTTTCGGTCTTGGCTCGTGCGGCTGCTTCCGTTGGGATGATTGAGCTTTGGTTTCCACGTAATAACCATGAACCCATGATTCATCGCCAGTTATGACCCTCTGGAGTAAATTTGAGTCGTCGCGGACAGAGTTCAACAGCTCCTTAGCAATGTTAATGCGATGCCGTTTTTGGTCGAAATTGAGCAATTTTGGTACGAATTTTGCGGCGATCCGTCTCATGCCCAAATCATTGGTAAAAATCGAATGGTAGGAGTCAGTCGATATATTTAGATCCTCACCAACTTTTCTAACGATGATTCGACGATTTGACAGTACTATTTTCTTGACTTCGTCAATGTTTTCGTCTGTTGTTGATGATGCACTCGGACGTCCGGCACGCTCCTCGTCGTTCACATCTTCTCGGCCCTCTGAGAACATTTTGTACTACCGATAAACGTTGCTTCGGTCTAAAGTAGCTTCACCATATGCTACAGTCAACATTCGGAACACTAAATTTGGTACAGATTCTTTGATCCACTTTTGGAATAGGCAAAAATCGAAGACGAGCAAAAACACGTCAGCAAAACAGCTGTCAAAAATTTACTGAACATGCAACATGGCAGAACTTGTCGGTATCAGTGAGAGATATGAGTACCAACATAACGCCACAAAAAAAAACGAAAATCCAATTACATAACCCACGGAAATTCAAAATTCGTGATACTTTTTGAACAGACCGCGTATTTCGTTGTTGTAAAAGTTTTGCAAATATAAACCAAATAAATTACAGTGCGTTTTGGCCAGTATAATCGTAGTAGCCCTTAAGGGGATGCTAATGCAGTTCCAAGATTTGAGGAAATATTGGAAGTTAAGTAAATGGGATGCATTTGTATGGATTGTCACCTTTTTTACCACCGTTTTGGTGGACATTGACATAGGACTCCTGGCGGGAGTAATTATATCGTTGTTCAGTCTTTTAGTGAGGGGCAATAGGCCCTACACGTGTTTGTTGGGTGTTTTGCCAAGCACTGACCTTTATCTGGACATCAAGAGGTACAAGGGGGTGAGTGTTTCTAAACGAAAAAAATATTGTGTTACAAAAACGTTAAAGTTAAGGAAAATCACTCTGAACCAAGTTAGGTCAAAATTTTTTTCTGTTTATTATGCAGTCTCCTAACGTTTCGCTCTCAAATGGATGTGGACCTTCCTCAAGGGTAGTTGTATAGTTCGTTCCAAAGTAGCTACAGCTAAAATATAGTAATGGCTAGGTTCTTAAGAAGATTAAATAAAATAATTCGAAGTGGTCTGTATTCTGTCGAAACTGCCGGACGCGGATCGCGATTTCGATCTCTTTGGATCTCACCAGCGCGCCGCAGGCAGCTCCGGCAGAACACAGACCGACTTTTACCTGCTGTCTTAACAGCGCGTTTCAGAAAATACCACAAACGGCACAGTAAACGCCATCTGTAGCACGATGCTACATTTTAGGATTACGTTGTTGGAGTATACGTAATCCTAAAATGTAGCGTCGTGCTACAGATGGCGTTTACTGCGCCGTTTGTCGTATTTTCTGAAACTTAAGAAGATTGTTAGTAATCCATCTGTCTAACAATACAATTGTCTTTGAGGAAGCCCTCTCATCTGAGAGCGAAACGTTGGAAGATTGTAAATAAAAGGAAAGGTCTTGCAGGGATTTTTTTGACATGTATTCTTGTAGGTTCAAGAAATTCATGGTATAAAAATATTCCATTATACTGGAAGCTTGAACTTTTCATCCAAAACACTATTTCGCACTTTACTGTATAAGAGAGTGGGTTTCGACCCCATAAAGGTGCTTAGTAAACGTGCAAGACAAGGAGAAACGCATAATTACGACGAATCGGCAGATATGCTGATCAAATGCGTTATAATCGATTTTTCGGCCCTTTCCTACATAGATCCGGCTGGGGTTGATCAACTGAGACAAATATGTAACGTTTACAAACAATTGAACATAGAAGTTTACTTTACGGGCTGCTCAGGTAATACGTAACAGGCTTGGTAAGGCATTGACAACGAGCGTGTAATTTTTTTTTGTTGCAGGGCCCGTGTACGAGGTTCTTATGAAATGTAACGTACATGAAAACAGAACAAATCAGTTTATAATATTTCCTACAGTACACGATGCTGTATTGTTTGCACAGGCGATGCTATTTACTGTTAAAAAAGAGACATAAGTTTTGTTTTTTTTTGTTTTTGATACGTGTTTGATACTTAAATTTACAAAAATTCTTTTAGATACTTAATAGCTTTACAGTTAGTGCAAATTTTTTATGTTTTCATGACTTGTTTTGTAGTGAAATGTCATCATGTGAGATTATAAAAAATGCTCGATTTTTTTAATTGATTTTTATAGGCACACTTAGGGATGAAAATAAGATTGAAGAATGCGTACTTATTTTTTGAGATTAAAAAAATGCTTAAACCTACGGGATCGTCTATAATAACAGTAACAATAAATAAGTGCCTTATAATTGTTCAGGTAGCGAGTTTAGCCAGTGATACAATGAAAAGTATTATTATTATTGCCAACGCTTAAGCTTTAAGGAAAAAAAACGACAAAAAATAAATCTTTTACAATATTTTTTATTTTAATTAATTTTTATTACGTACCTGTGTACTTATATTTTGTTTTGTCCTATCATTTTCCTAAGTGACAACCAATTATTTTAAATGTAAAAAAACTGTCAAATGCCAAAATACGTATTGCAATTAAAAGTTTATTATTAATTATCTACAGAAGGTATGGATGGTAAAATAACAGTATTACAACGAAGAAATAAATATAATATGAATAGAAGAAGGTGAGTGAAGAAGTTGTTTTAAATTATTAATTGGGTAAAATAAATTTATAACAAAAAAAATTTTTTTTTTTTGAAAATTTTGCTTAGAATATAAGTAATTTATGTGATAGGTAACTGGCGGTGCAAAATTTTGTGGATATTTCAAAACTAATATTCCAGGGATGATGCGAATGTCTAGCTTTTTTTAAAAAGTATTTGATTTAGATACTTGAATAAATGAAGATGGTACATTTAATTATAGTTTAGTTTAAATTTAAAAATTGCTGCTTTATATATTATTGGTTTATCATCGAAAGTTAATGCGAATTTCGGGTTTCCCTCTTGACCTATCATTGAA